TCCTTTTCTTTCCAGGGTAGAATTCCGTGTGGATTCCCAGCTCTGCTTCAGAGCACTCCATGGGTGGGTCGCTTCCAGAGAAGTCACATTCCCCAAGTTACGGTCTTTGTTTTTTGAGACAAGAGTCTCGCTCTGTTGCTCAGGTTGGAGAACAGTGGCGCGATCTCAGCTCACTGCAGCCTCTGCCTCTCAGGTTCAGGTAATGCTTGTGCCTCAGCCTCATGAGCAGCTGGGACTACAGGTGCCCGCCACCACGCCTGGCCAATTTTTGTATTTTTTGTAGAGATGGAGTTTCACCATGTTGGCCAGGCTGGTCTTGAACTCCTGACGTCAGGTGATCCGCCCGCCTCAGCCTCCCAAAGTGCTGAGATTATAGGTGGGAGCCATAGCACCCAGCCATTTTTTAAAATGCTTTTCTGCCCATAAATATATATAATTGCACGTTTACATTTAAATATTTATGAAAAACGTGTAATTTGGTGAGGTCTGACATGAGTGAACTATGACCAGTCAAGACATGGAATATATCACGGCTCTGTGGGGCTCTGCAACCAGGCCTCCTCGCCCCCACTCCCACCCCTCCGCACCCCTGGCACCCATGCATCTGCGGGCTGCACTTAGGTGTGGTGGCGTTTCCTGGACTTTTATGTACGTGGAATCACAGTGTGCGCTTTCTGTCTAACTGCTTGAATTCACGCACCACGGTGACTGGGAGACTCCTCCGGGAGAGTCCGCAGTTCCTTTCATTGCTGAATGGTGTTCCCTGTGTGTCTCCAGCAGAATCGTTTATCTCTTCAGCTGTCAGGTGAATCTGCCAAAAGACAGTGTTCGTTGACGTATTTTTAAATATTCTAATGTTTATTTAAGCCTCGGGTTTGTGTGCAGGCTTTGTTGATTTATTTTTAAATATTCTAATGTTTATTTTAGCCTCAGGTCTGTGTGCAGGCTTGTTATATAGGTAAACTCGTGACTGGGGTTTGTGGTACAGATTATTTCAGCACCGGGTACCAAGCATGGGTACCTGACAGTTTTGTTAAAATGATTTTTGAGTCTCTTCTTCTTCCCTCAGGCAGGCCCCGGTGTGTGTTGGCCCCTTTCTGTCCCTGTGTTCTCATCATTCAGCTTTCACTTCGAAGTGAGAACATGTAGTATCCGGGATTCTGTTCCTGCGTTAGTTTGTGAAGGATAATGGCTTCCGGCTCCTTCCAAGTTCCTGCAAAGGGCATGATCTCGTTCCTTTTTATGGCTGCATAGTACTCTGCGGTGTATATGGACCACATTCTCTTTATCCATCTGCTACTCACAGGCCCCCAGCTTGATTCCACGTCTGTGCTGTTGTGAGTGGTGCTGCAGTGAGCATTTGAGTGCGTGCGTCTTTATGGCAGAACCATTTAGAGTTCTCGGGGTATATATGCAGTAGTGGGATTGCCGAGTCGAATGGTTAGTTCTGTTTTTAGTTCTTTGAAGAATTGCCATACTGCTTTCCA